GCCTGGGCTCCCGGCAACACCCGGGCGGGCCGGCAGCTGCAGGGCTGTGGGCACAGGTGCCCGGCTACGGTGGGAAGGACACGGGGCCCCAGGTGGCAGGAGCTGGCCGTCTGACAGGCCTCTCTTGCACACGGACTTGTCTGAGTCTCCAGAAAGAAAGAAAAGCTCTCGGACAGACGTACGGAACAAACGGACAGCGGCCACGAGGCCGCAGCGGGGAGGGCGTGAGCACTGGGAGGAATGCAGGAACCAGGCGGCCGGCGCAGTCAGGACCCAGGCTGGCGCCCCGCTGCGGGGGCGGCCGCTCTGCCCTCGGATGGCGACTCACGCCGGGACAGCACGAGGGCCGCTCGCCGCCCTTCGGCACAAATGCCCGCGTCACCAAAGCCCACTTCAGAGACCCGCTCAACCCGCTGCCGAAACGCGCATAAGAACCGTGGCCCAGCTTCGGCCGTTAAGGACAAGGCGGGTGTGCGCGGGCAGGGCCGTGACCCAGACCCCGTCACACAGACCAGCACCTGCGCGTGTGTGGCCACTTGCAACCCGCACGCCCCAACAGGCAGCACACACACGCTGTTCAGGCGAGGGAAGAACACAGACTTACCCTGAGTTTTGGGTTTTTCAGACTAGAAAAGTAGTTTTCAAGCTAAAAACACAAAAAGGAAAGGAAAACTCTTATTAGAAGTCAGCCCCGACCCTGTCAGGACGAAAGCGACGTCCCGGAGGCACAGCCGGCGGGCGGTCTCGGGAGGGTGGCACAGAGTCCCCCAGGCGGACGTGTGTGGGGCCCGACCCTGTCACGAGCCCCCCGGGACAAGGCCCGCCCCGCACAAGGGCCCCCCCACCCCGCGCGTGTGGGGCACTCACTATGGTGCGGTCGATGGTGTGCAGGTAGTAGGACACGGGCTTCCCCGTCCAGGACACAGAGCCCTTCAGGGGCGAGAGCTCCACGACGCGCATGATGGTGCCGATGTCTGCGCACACAGGGCTGCGGTGAGGGCCCCTCCTGCGCCCGAGGGGTGAGCGGGGTGTGTGTGCGGGTGGGGGGAGGCTCTGCGCGGTTCCGCGGGGACTCCCTCCCTCCTCACAAGAGACAGGTGGGAGGCCAGGTGAGGTGCTCGCATCAGTCCCACTCCCCCGAGGGGCTCGTCCAAGGAGAATGGCGACAAGCCCCCGTGGGGTTGGAGACCACTTAGAGGGCGACTGAAAAGCAACGTGGCTACAGGAGGCCCCCAGCGGCACACAAGAGGTCATGAGCCCTGGGGCCCATGTGGCTTGGCCCAGGGGCCTGAGGTGCAGCCCATGCTATGCAGGACAGCCACCTCTGTGACAGACCCCTCCCTGAGTTCTCCTGACCTGTCCCGCCTTCGACACCCACCTGGGGCCACTCTGCCCCCAGGGGACACAGGGCAGGTCTGGGGACGTCTGTGGTCATCACAACCAGGGCAGTCCTGGCATGGGGTGGGGGCGGGGGCCGGGCAGGGGAGGAATGCCCCCCAGGGGGCGGTCTGCCCTGACGTGAGCAGTGCCGGGGGACAGACCCTATGCTGACACAGCCAGATGCTGGAAATCACAGATCTTAATACTTCAGCAATCAAGAACTTCTTACCGCTCAAGTTTCTGCTGTTTATTCTGAAGTTCAGAGGCGCAAAGGGCTTCGAGGACACAATCCTGCCGCCTGAAACACAAACCTAGTTACTGCCGTTCGTGGGGAAGCACCTGCACGCACACAAATGAGAGGGAGACAGACGTCAGGGGAGTAAGGGGAAGCCGCAGGAGGAGCGGGGACAGCGACCGCGTGCACCGCAGCAGGACGGAGTCCCGTCCGCCTCCTACGAGGAAGAGCAGGACCAGGTGCCGCCTCCCAGCTTAACTCTGTCCCGCCAGCTGCTCTCCTGTGACAACGGTCCAAGGCCCCACGGTGCTGACCTCGGACCCAAAGGTCCCAGCTGGGGGCTCACCCATCTGTGAGGACAGACCGGGCGGGAGTGAGGACGGTGACTTGGCACGCTCCCCTCCCCCCCCCCCCCCCC